TGGCCCACAGACAAGGTATGAGGCCCTGGGCATGTAATGGTATAAGAGCAAAAGTAGTTAGATGACCACAAATATAATACAATCAAAACAAACTGGTTTTATGAAGAAAATGTTTGAGAGCTTTGATTATCACTTTTATAATGCAGCTGTGGCTTTCAATAGTCTTTTCCTACTCACTAGGCATTCTGGTCCTTTTATTCTCTGCCAACATAATCTTTGATCTTAAGATATCCCTTGATCTCTAGGGGGATGAGATCCCTAATTCAGTTCCAAAATATCATTCCTGATCTACTTAAGGCAGGTTCTCTTCCTCTGACCAGTAATTGACTTCACGGAACGCAAAGGACCTATTTCTATCTGAAAGAGATGTTTGTGGAAGTTAGCTTGAGGGGTGCAGTAAAACATCTCTATGTGAATAACGTAAGAAACACTCCGATGTGAATGAAGGAGGGAGGAAAAACATCTCTATGTGAAAGAGGACTGAAAATAGCAAAGAGAAAACTCCTTCTACTTCCTGAGTTGGCATAGTTGTAGGTACAGCACCATTTTATGACCCTAAGGGAAAAACTAAGAGAATCACAGAGATTTCAACCCTGACATTGTTGAGCTGATAAACTACGCCCTGAACTGCCTACTCCAGAACTTCATTATGTATTAGAAATTAATCATTATTTGTCGAAGCTACTGTGTTTAGATTTCCTGATGCATGTAATGAAACACATGTCTACCAAATACCATAGCATAGGCATCATTCTCCTAGGTTAACTACACTGGGGGTGAGAGAAATAAGCAAGGACATTTCTGGTCTATTTTCAGTCAGGTGCATTGGGTCAACTGCATTTCAGCAAGGTGCACTGGATTCCTACTATATTAGTACTGCCTGGTGGTATCAGGACAAAAACTGAGGTCTTTGTGATTTCCTATTAACTATCGCTACCTTCAAACACAAGGTCAGAACCCGAGTATGTAGTTGATCATATGGTCAAGAATGTGCCAGGCGGGTGTTAATGAAGCAAAGCAGGAGGTTTTTACAAACCAAATGTATGAGGGTCTTTCTGATTCTTTCTACCTGAGAAGATTTTTTACTCATCCATAACACTGATCTGTGAAGAGCTATGTGATAAAAGATAACATTATACGAATATGCAATCAGGCTATAATTAACCTGAAATGACAATTATAAATAACACTGTGTCCCAGAGTTTCCAAGAAACCTGACATACACAGTTTTTGGGTATGTTGAAACACTTCCAAGAAAAGTAAAAAATGAAAAATCTTTTAGAAGTCTTCAATTAAAATGTGTTTTAGTAAAAATGACTTTCATTATGTGTTTTGGTGCATATTACTAGAAAACATTTGTCCCTGTCTTCACACCTCTAATTGTTTTTACTACCAATTACAGCTTTTCAGAACTACGACTCTCTACTTGGGACGACCATGTTGGTCATTTGAAATGTGGAGAAAAGTTACTGTGTATAAGGTTTGCGTACTCAAGGAAACACATCTCCGCTGCAGGATTCCAACGATCTGGGTCTCAGGTCCTCCTATCACCTTTCGAATAGATGGGAGGCGTCAGGCTGGATTTCTTCTCTTTTACCCTTTCCTTTCTCCCAGGTCCTTTCTCTCTGTTTCTTCCGTTTATCTCCCCCTTTCCTTACATCTCACATACTTTCTGGGCTTTGGAAATTGGGAATATTGCGTTAGTGAGAGAAATATTCTTTTGGGATTCACATGATCTGATACAGTGCAGAAATTTATCATATATCCTGTTTTTGTCTTTCAAACAGAAACAAAAGTCCAAACCAACTACTGATATACCTATGCTTTGGCCATGGATAAAGTTGGGCAATTATAAAAACCTATGAAAAAGGTAGGTGTTAGGAAATTAACAATGGGATAGGTAAAGTGATGTCACATTATGCAGAAGAATAAGCAGCCACCTTTGTCAACTTAGGTACAGAAGTGATCTGATATGTCAAATAAACTGGGTGGCGCTTTTATTCACTTCCTACAAGTAGGCTCATACACATAAAGATGCCATGATTGACAGTTAAAATAACAGTGTGATTTAAACTATATACTTCATAAAGGCATAGAACATACTTTCTTTTTCAAGCACACAATACCACCCCACCCCCATACATAGCAGATGTTAATTAAAGGACATAATTTGACTTTATCTCATCCCCAGGAGTTGCACATAGATCAATCATTAATATTGTAGAAATGACACGCTAGCTAGTTCAACAGGAAAGGGCGAGTACAGTTGATACCTGCTTCTGGTAGAGCTTCAGAAATCACACTTCAAAAATCATGGTTAGGTATCAAGGTGTCATTCAGATCTGTCTGCTGAAAATATTTACTTACACCTTATAAAAGTTTGTCATGCTATTACAGTAATGGAACTATTTCACTTTCCTATTTTAAGATTTTCACTTAAAACACCATGGAAATATAAGACTGTAATGGTGAATGGTGAAGAGATTTGGGAAGGACGACATTCTTGGGACTGGAGACATCTTATTTGGCCAACAGATTTGGGCAGGCATTACGTCAAAAACAGATTTCCAGGGGCGCCTGGGTGGCTTAGTCGGTTGGGCGTCCGACTTTCGCTTAGGTCATGATCTCGCGGTTCGTGGGTTCGAGCCCCGCGTCGGGCTCTGTGCTGGCTGCCAGCTCGGAGCCTGAAGCCTGTTTCAGTCTGTGTCTCCCTCTCTCTCTGACCCTCCCCTGCTCACGCTGTCTCTCTCTCTCTCCTAGAAATAAATAAAAAAAATATTAAAAAAAAAAAATTTAAAGAAATTTCTGTCTTCCCTTTCTCTCATCTATTTGTCTACCTATCTACCTACCTAGCTTTCATTCTTTAAATACAAAATTTNAAAAAAAAAAAAAAAAAAAACATTTAAAAAAAAAAACAGATTTCCAAAAAATTCTAATTCTACTAAAGAGAAAGGAAAATTGAAGGCAGTAGCTTTCAACAAGAGGCAACTCTCACCCTTGCAACACAAATAGAGAAGGTGCTAACCAGAGAGATGAAAGTACGGTTGTGGAAGTGGAACAAGAAATGGAAATAAAGTTCCCTAACAATGGACAACTATGGAGTAAAGTGAATGCAGATGGCTCCATTCCTGTTACTTAATCAAAAGGCTGAGCAGAGTCACTGGAGCCGGCATAAAGTCATGTGTTAGAACAACAGCTGATCTGTATTAGAGAAGATTAACTCGCAGTGCCATGGTGGAGGGCCCAGGATTATTTTATGTACTTCCATTGCCTTACAAGCCGTCAGCACAATTATTGCCCTCCGATCTGAATGACTGATCTGTAACCACAGCTAAACAGCATGCTGCTTAGGGGCCTAGGAGCTTCATGAAGATGAATTTCCATACCATCAAAGTGCTTTTAATGGGCTCCCTGATCCAACCACAAGGCCTGTTTTGCAAGTATATAGAACTCAGGATGAAGGCTTCCTGTCCAAAAGGATTTGGTCGGTTGTCACTTGACAATTCCCAGCCAGCACAGGGGAGGAGAGGGGGGAGATAGGTAGAGTTGTCTCTGCTTTGGAGGATTAAAAAAAAAAAAAAGGGTACAGATGCTTGCTGAATGCAACCAACTGCTGTATCCACAGCTGAATTCAATGCGCTTAACAAATAACGGCAATTTAGCTATGCTTGCGAGGAATAGCTTGAGTCACTTTGCATTAGCATCTGGCTGAGTGTTAAACTCATTTCTACATGGGGAGCAGAGAAAAGGAATTTCTGTTCAAGCATCCTTTCAAGAATGTTTAAATATTTGAATATAAATTCCTTTATGCTTGCTATCATTCCTTCTTAGAGCTGTCACGTTGCTTTTCCCCCTTCCCTTCTGGTGCTTAGCTAGAAAAATTTTGTGCCCTTCTCGCCGCACCAATGTCGCTCTTCTTCTGTCATGTGACTGCAAAGGATGTATACCTAACCATGCTGTGCTCTCCCCTCCAGGAACAAAGCAGAATTAAAATCATTGCTCCATTCTTTGACCCATGTTTGGACCACAGAAAAAGTACAGTTGTGACAGGATCACACATATATTTCACTTTCACTCTGCAGATTGTGAGCTTAGAGACTGCACATCAAATTCCATATAAAACCTGGGAAACCAGAAAGCTATCAAATTAGCAATCTGCCCATTCTGGACAATACTGTTTGACTCACAAGCTTCCCATGATGGTTAACTTTCAAGTTGTTGCTAAGTAGCTGATCATTTTTTCCCTCTTATTTACTGTGTCTCTTTAGCTATCGGACTGTGAGAAGGAGACTCAGTAACACTTAAAAATTTCAATTCAAAAATACCACATATTACCAACATAAGTACATCACTCTGAGCATTCTATAATAACATAATATTTTTCTGAATAAAATACCACACAGCTTAGGCATAAGAATTTGAAATGCTTGTATCCTGGATGAATTCAGACGTTTCACTGGGCTTAAGCATAACAATAATGTCCAAGCTTTAAAAAGCACATTTTGTTTTATAATAAAGTCAGAATTTCTAATTGTGTGGTCATCTCAAACTTGACTGTGCTTTGCACTGGAAACATATTATGACAAGCTCAGGATCCTAGTTACTTAGACTAGGAACGTGGGTATCATCCAAGCTTATGCTGATTAAAGAAGATTCAGGATTCTCAAATCCAGCTCATCCCCAAATATAAGTTAAGCATCTCTGTAGAGCAAAACTTTTACTCAGACTCAGATATTTCAAATGCCATTCCATTTTAATGGAAATGGATGGCAGACAGGGGGATATTGTCAATAAAGTCTGGAGATGGATAGAAGAGAATTATAACGCTTCTCATTTGCAGATGGTTTTTATCAGGATGTGCATGGACATTTTTCTGTATTGACAGAGGGGGTAAAGGGAGGGAGAACCATCAATCTGAGGATGGTGAGAAGGTGAGAACACAAGAAAAGGTTTTAGGTAATGGACGTAGTTTTGGAAAGTCAGGTATTTTATGAACTAACCTTTTCTGTGCGGCAGTTATTGAGACCTAGACTATTCACAACAGCCACTTTCCCATCAAGCACCTGTTGCTCCCGCCGAAGCTGCTCCTTCATCTGCCGAGCCTCTTGGATTGCCTTGGTGACAGCATCGTGGTCATTTAAATAACCTGAAGATGTGACAGAACAAAGGTTATGTTTTGTACAAAGGCATGGATAGCTTAACTTTTAACCATGAAAATCACATCCTTTTTGGGTAATGGCTAGTGTCTGGCTCATAATAACTTCTCAGTGTCCTTTGTCTACGACAAATGAACGAATGAGTAATTGATAATGACTGATTCACACAGTCATATGTGAACATGGTGCCAAGCACCTGTAATGCAAACACAGTATTTAGATGAAATATAGTTTTTTCCACATGCTTGGAAAGTTTAAAATATAGTTTTTAAATAAACTTTTTCTCAGTTATCTGAATGTTTTGTAGTGCAAAAATAAAGCCTATCTTTGATATTTTTTTTTCATGTAAGGATCATTTGAATGTTATCACAGGATATGGATATTGATGATTATCACTCTAATTATGACATTCTTACAGTATTAGAAAGATAAGTTTAGAGTTTGTACATAGCACTATTAGGTGTGTTATGTACAGAAGGAATAAATCATTATTAACTAAGTGAAAGGGGATCATCCTCTACCCTTCCCCCTCCCCCCGCCTAGTCATTGATGGCGAAATAAACCACAGGTGGCAGTGATTTGCTATGGATACAAACTTGTAAGAGGCTAAATTTCAAGCACGGAATATAACCAAACACCTGTGAACTGTACGATAAGAAACTGTGGCTACTGAAAACTCCACTCACATTGAATTCACACTCTTCATAAGATGGTCAAATGACCCAACTCGTGTCTATAGCTCCATTATCCAGAGTTAGTTAAAAAAAAAGAGAGAAAAGAAAAATTGCCAAAACAATTTCTTTGAAAGAAGAAGAGGTGTAAAGAGCAAAACTAATTTTTACCTCAATTTTAACACTGGTCACTTATTTATTTGACACACATCGCTATGATAATCTGCATGACTTCAGGGTAGCATACCGATGGGAAAATACTGTTTTGTAAATATTGAAAGGAAGCTAATATATCATCTTTCACTCTCCCTATCTTTTAACTAGGGCATAAAATGGCATAAACTGAATCTATAATATGAAATTGCCCAGAAAAGGGACTTGTTTGTGACATGAGGCTAAATCTAACCAGATCCATTGGTGAATTGTGACAGATGGAGGGACTGTGAGACAGAAGGCAGGCACTAATCACACATAAAATGACCGGCTTGCCTCAACATGTTCCATGGATTCCAGCAAACTTTACACCCTAATCCATTTTTAGAACAAAAAACATCTGGGCCATAAATCCTCTAATCTGCCAAAACACGCTATTAAATCCCATGATTTGTTGAAAAACACTAAGATTAAAGAAAGGAAATATAAAATGGCTAACTGCCGTGTTAGGAAAGTGTTATTAATACTCTTTCTTTGTCTCAATTATGAATGTTCTGGTACTAAAGAGCCTTGTCTAATCATGTCAGATTACACATCCTCATCGTATTGCTAGACTCTTCTATCTGATCTGCTGATTGCCAAAAAATATAGAATACTTTCTTGCTGCTTAAACATTTTTATCGAAGAAGCTGATGTCAGATTAGTGCAGTGCTTCAGTGCTGGAAGGTTTCTAAATGATCCCTGCTTTCTTCCCACCCCCTTGCTATGCTCAGACTAGACCTCATCCTCTGATCTCGTTGAGGCAGAAAGTTAAGTTAGGTCCAGTGTAGGTGACAGAAAGGGGAGCTTTGAAAGCTACTTACATGTTTGGCTTTTCAGAGCTAAATTAATTGGAACTTATTCAAAGAACAAAACCCTCTTCCTCATTATAAATACAATACGAATCAGAAACAACAATTTAGACGTAGGTCAAGCCTTTAGGGTTAGTGTTTACCTTAAATTATGGTTGTTTTTCACCTCCTATTACCCTCGACGACCTCCTGTCTGGGTTCTCCTGAACAAGTTTTCTTAACATACTATTCTTGAACTTATTCTGTTCATGAACACTACTACTCTAGAGAGAAATACGGCTCTTATATGACAGCGATGGTCTCAGTATATGTTCGTTTAGTGAAAGATCTGAAGAGGATCATCCTGATTTTCCTATTCTCTCACCACTGTACATCACCCCATGATGTGCAACCTGGCATCATGCAGTCTATTTAGCTTCTCCAGAGCACAAATACATTCTGAAATGGTTTGGCACATGGCATTGAATAAAAGTATGAATTGTTTATGTTTTTTGGGTGCTGCCAAGATAACATTGTGCAGGAAAAAATGATTAATATAGATGCAGAAGGGATACAAATTATATGGGGGCGAATAACTGACAGACATATGTTCTGTAATGTTTATTTCCAGTTTGAGGTGTGTATTCCTATGCAGGTGGAAATGGGCATCTACATTAAAAGAAACATTCTTGTTTTTAGACGTTCTGAAATTTTAGCTAAAATCCTATATGAAATCTAGGATTTCATACAGGAAATGAAATTTCATACACAAATGAAAACATTTGTATCTGCTGTGTCAAATCTTAAAATCACTTATATACTAGAGTTGAATCATAGCAGGATCGTTTGCTACTTCTTTACATTTTGTTTTCATCACAGTCACCAAATTACCAATCTTGCTGATTCCCTCTCTCTTGGCAAATGGCCTCCCCTTCAATATAAGGTTTAGTTCTCACCTTCCTGCCCCACCCCACCCCACCTCGACTCCTACTTCATACTCACTTAAAATCTGTCCCCATCTCTGCCCATTGACTTCTCCTGCTTCAGGAAAAGTGGTACCTCAACTTTCATTCAAGGCAAATCCCCAAAACTTGTGTTCCAGATTTCTATACTTCACCATTGGTCATTCTCTTTCACATTTCTGTTATCCATATCTGAACTTCTCCACCATCTCTAACCACTTCAGCTTTTGTAAGCACTCAAGTTTCTCTACCTGAGACAAGTCAATAAAGTCTCTCTCAAATTTGTGTTGCCTTCTATTTCCAACTGTCTCTCTTTACCTTCTAAGATTCTTACCACACGCCTCCCATTCCTTCCTCACTCTTCCATTTCTGCTACGATCTTGTTTCTGCTCCTTGCTCTTTTAAACGGCCAAATCCAAGGGACACTAGCCATGCCCTGCAGAACGACAACACTGACAATCTCCTCACTCCTTTCTTCCTTGTTTCTCCTCACAGAGCAGGATCCCCTTTCCTATCTGACTTCTCCATCTTCATATCCTTGTCTGAGATCTGTTCTTCACCTCTTCCTTAGATTTAATCCACGGTTACAATTTTCAGAAAGAGTTTGCATTTTGGAGTTGGATAAGCCTGAATGAAAATCCCAACTTTGTCACTTACAAGCTATATAAATTGTACATGTTGTTTTACGTTTTTAAGTCTCAATTATGTTATTGGTTAAATGGAGATAACATCTACTCACTAGATAACATAAATTTGTGAAAAGTAAATGAGTTAAGACAGTCTTGCATAGTGGTCCATGAGAGTTATTCACTGTCAGTTTATTTATAAAATGGCATAGTGAAGAAGGTAGGATTTGGGTACTAGATTCAGAAGCATCTGGGTTTCTATTTCTTGGAAAGTGTGATATTTGCCAAATTAGAACACTTGATGTCATTGGGTTTCCATTTCCATTAACTATAAAATGAATGTACAATTGATGAAAGACTTAAAGGAAATTATACATCTTGTGAAGGAATAGATAACATTTGATACCTGAGGAGGCAGTAAAAAAGGTTAATTCCTTGCTTTTTTTTTCTCTTACATTTTCTCTATATGCCCACCCTCAGCAGTCTTATTGTATGGCATTGACCATAATGATAAAATCTGTGAAGGGATATCATTTCTTGTGGGTCCAGAGGTTCAAGGAAAAGGAGTAATGCCATCAGAGTGCAAAATTCCCCCCAAATGATCACTTGATATATTTTATTCTGCTTCTTTATATGTTTAGGCACCAACTGCATCATAAGATAAGATCAGAAGGAGGGTATGTACTTCAGAGAGGTTTGGTGAACCTCAGTCTTAGGAGGGAAGTGGGAAGATAAAGGTCAACATGGCTTCCAGTTAGGACCTCAAATGAGATTTGGAGAATTTAGGTTAGGGGTCATTAGTGTAAAAAGTTTATAAGATCCTGCAACCTTTTAAAATCACCAATTTGGGTTTTTATGCCTTGGTGTTTCTTCTTACTCACTACCAAAAAAAATTCTCAAAATTAAAAAGGCCCCTTTTATGTATTTTCAGGGGTAGAAAAAAAGAGGGGACAGCCTGAAAATAACCTGTATTATTTCATGTAATTCTTCCGTCAACCTTACATTTGTTCCATTACAAAAATGGTAAATGGTATAATATTACATCTATTTAAAATTTATATTTTTAAAGGGGTTTACTGTTATTAAATTCCATGGTCAGCTGCACTAGGAAACCCATGAACAATCCTAGGATAAAATCAAAACAGAAAGCGTATAGGCTGCTCCACAAGGAAAGAAGTGGTCAAAAGGCTGAAGGAAAAACAGAAAACCACTTATAACAGGTTGAATTATGTTTCTCCAAAAAGGTATGTCTGTGTCCTAACACCAGTATTTGTAAATGTGACCTCATTTGGAAATAGTCTTTGTAGACGTAATTATATTGAGGACCTTGAAATGAGACCACCCTGGATTTCAGATGGGCCTTCAATTCAATAACTGGTGCTCTTAGAAAGGAAAGAGAGAGAGATCTGACACAGAGACACAGGAGAGAAGGCCATGTGAATATGGAGGCAGAGCCTGGAATTATACAGCTCTAAGCCAAGAACATCAAGGACTACCAGAAGCCACAAGGAACAGATTCTCCCTCAGAGCCTCCAGAAGGAACTAATCTTGCTGACATCTTCACTTTGGATTTCTAGCCTCCACACAGTGAGAGAATAGATTTCTAGTTTAAGTGACCTGGTTTATGGTAATTTGTTGTGGCAGCCTTAGAAACCAAATACCACAACTGGTCTAAATGCACTCAAAAGTCAAGGGTGATCCCAAGTACTATAAAATATCTGCTACCTATCTCAAGCCTTCCTATTTTT